AACGTTTCATTTAAAAGTCTGTGTAAGCGATTTTGTGCCTCTTCGGGATGGCACAATAAAGCGACGTGAACTTGCAGAACGCACGCTTCTAGAGAGTACATAAGTCTAATTTAATAGTTTTAGTAAATGTTTTGTCATTTTTATTTTGTCATCTATATCATTTTAGTCATTTTTATTTCAGTTTTAGTAATTTGAGTACATTAAATTACACTAAATGAAAATGACCTTGCCTTGGCAATTAGCTGACTTGAGATTTTTTAATTTCCTAAACATTTCCCAGACCATTTTTACAGTGATGCTTAAGGTTGCATACCTGCCATAGCCACACATTAGTGGTCATGAGGTTGTTTTTCTCATCCTAAATTCATAAACAGAGAAGAAAGAAAGATAATGCCATAAGCAACTGAGATATGCATGTATATGTGTACGAGAGAGAGAGAGAGAGAGAGAGAGAGATGTGATTAACTTAGATGAAGTCTTGACTCTAATAATTAACAATTAATTCTGGTGGTTGGATTCTAAATGAATTCTAAAGTCTGCTGTAAAACAGAATAAGCAGCATAAAGAACCACAATGGGAAAAGACTTTTCATCAAACAGGTTTATATTATTACCCATTTTTCTTGAGATTATGAGATATTCGAGGAAGAGCCATGCTGAGAGGGGTGACTCAGCCCGCATAATAATAGCTGTCCTTATTTATTTTCCATAGCCCTCAAAATCATTGGCTATATCTTTTGATAAACGTCCCGCATAACCACTTTTAAAGCCATATAATACTCTGAATTATGAGGCTCTTGGGCACCTGTGCCTTTAGGTATAGGTTTTAAATCAATAATATCAAACAGGCACATCTGAGCCCTCATCAAGTAAATCACATTACAAGGTGCACATGTAGCAAGAGTAAGTTGACGTCATCATAGTTTGATTATTATTATTGAGAGGAACACAAAGACTTGACACCCACTTTATATTTTGGGTGTTTATTGTTACCAATTAGTTTTTTTTAGTTTTTTTTAAGCATTAATAAAATGCATTTTAATGCTGATGGATTTCATGCAGAATTGAAATCTTACATTGAAGCAGGTTTTACCAAGAAAACACATAATATACTCATTCAGGCTCAAAGCAGCTTAGATCACTACTGCGTTGAATGTTAGTGTGTGTCTGTCCATTTGCTGAAATGAATACCTGCAGCATTTGCTGAGCAAATACATTTTCATCAAAATATGCTGAATTACTATAAGTTTAGTTTGAATAATTTAATCACAGAGGGAAATAGTACACCAATGGATTTCTGTGGGTGCACACTGTTAAAGATTCTACAGCTCTCTGGATCTCTGCTCTTTTAATAATTCAGCCTCCTATCACACGAGTCTTCTGAACAACAAAACCCTTTCAAAGAAAAAGTGAGGCAGAATAAATCCAGGAGATGGGAAAAAATATGGAGGAGGGGTGCTGCAGTAAGGTAATATTTTCTATATATGGACTCTAAAGAAGCAGATGCCCCTAATATATGCCTAATATACAGAGATAAACTGACTTCAAAAGTCAATGGTTTTCAAAACCACGGACAGCTCCATCTGTTGTGTTTCAGCACCATGGACAGAGACTAACCAAGGGCCGTCAAAGCTTTCAAATTAAGTTTAAAAATTCTGAATCTGTATGTTTGTCTTACCACATCCACTAGCTGAGATATCTTCAAGCCAAAGCGGACCTTCACAGAGTGGTTTGCATGCTGAACAGGCCTGACCCAACGCTGGTACCCCTGAAACAAGTCCCTAAGAAGAGCATCTTCTCTTTGTGCCAGAGATACAAACTCTCTAGCTGCTAAAACACACATATCATTATCATCATCTTATTACATCATTGATGTAACTTCTTACAACTTAAAACCATTGTTTATACTACTCTCATTCTCAATTGACCTGGTATTAATGTTACCTTCTATAAAGATGAAATAACAGTGTTTGTGCTTTAATTAACTGCTAAATGAGTGTTATAAAAGTGAGTCATATGAATAGAGTACACTAAGTGTAATGACATACAGACAAGGACAGACAGAAACCAGACACTTCATAGACATGGCAGTCAGCAGAAGTCCGCTCACTGCGTCCTTCACTAATTGTTTACTGACCTCAACTGAGGACAAGTGCACTCAACTAACCATAGCGAATAAATTACATTTTGAGGAGAAATTTTAGTAAATAAAAAAGCATGATAAGATTCCTTATAATTCGCAGATTTTTATTGCTGACACTACGATACAAAACTTTGTTCAGTGACTCATTATGTCATTATTGCGAACTGCGCGGTACGCAAAGCGCAAACATAAATCATTCTGATAACAAAATTATCCATTACAAATTGATTTCAAATAATACATATTTTTCAACTCTTTAAATGCATTATGCATAGTCCATAACTCAAAAACAAAAAAGGCTGTTAAACAAACATTGAAATAACTTTACAGGGCAGAAAGAGACAGTGATTGGTTTGCACTTACCAGGCGTGGTGGCGATGATGCTGGTAAACAGGGTAAAAAGACCAATGACTGCCAGCGTCATTTTGGGAGAAAGTATTTGATATTGCGTAACACTAACTAAAATAAATGTGAACGAATTAATTGCTCTTTAAAAAAAACTTCTCGTAACAAGCGATAAAAGTTTGTAGTTGTTATTTGTTGAGAATACTAGACGATAGTAAAGCAGGGGATGTGAGCAGATCACTCCTAGATGGAATCCGTCCCGCGCGTGCGTGTCAGTTTAAAGGGACAGATGAATGCATCGCTTCAGCAAATAGATCAACATACTCAGAAAATGCTGCACATTGTAATTGTAACTGTCACTCTTTGGTGATGAAATAGCTCAGTTGGTAAAAGACAGTTATATATATATATATATATATATATATATATATGATTTGTGTTGAGACATTAGACATTTTAATACATTAATAATAGGCCCTTTAAATACTCTAAGTACCTCAAATGATATTTGTATGTTATGTAAATCATAAGACAGTCTCAACTTCCATTTATAGTTGTCAACTCATTTTCCATCATTCAAACTCTAAAACAGATTTTCAGTAAGTATTGTATTTTGTATACAAGTATACAGTAAGTATTGTTTGAATGGTTTTTGTTCAGCTTTGGCCAGTTTCATGTCCCTCGGTTTTATTTGAAAATGTTAAACTTACTTTCATTTTTTTGGCTACATAAAGGTGAAATCTATCTTAGTCTTGGTAACAGTATGCACTGGTCTAGAGTGTGTTTGTTTACAATCTCACAGACATACTAAAATAAAAACTCAGCAGAGTCTCTTGTGTAAACACTCACATTGAGTCCAAGCAGCAGCTCAGGCAAACATATTTCCTCAGCGTTCATGGCTACTGTCTGAGCTCAGATGATTTTCTGCTCCAGTTGGAACCAGCTGTGGCCTCCGTGAGGGTCTGTGTCACTTTTCTCTTATGCCATTGCATGTAAATCTCTATCATTCGAATATGAGATTAAACTTCACATAAAAACATGGTCAAACGTCTAATACACATCAGTTCAATAATGCATGGATAGAATCAGAAAAATGCATTGCAATAGTTAAAAGTTGTGAAGTCTACACTGGTATTATTGCATTTGGCATTATGATTTAATGGTTGCTGACTCACATTCTTTGCTTATTAGCTTCCTTCATCTACACTGCATATGCATGTCAGCATGAATCTGCACACAGACTGCCATCTTCAGAAGAGAACAAAAACAGACTGGAAAATAACTTAAATATTCATACACTCCTTTAAATAATGCATCTCAGCCTCCATTTGCACACTCCCCTGACTGCACTGTCGCCACCTGTCAAATCAGCAGAGCCACAGTCATGATGAGTTAACATTGAAAAACACTAAAAATATAGTGTCCTCAGAAATTAACAAAGCAAAAATACAGTCCTAAACCCCAGCAAGTAGAATTGGTGATTAACATGATAATGAGAAGGTGAAAAGACCCCCTTCTGCATAGCAGATGCATGCTTTGATTTTATTTAAATTAAGTTAAATTTATGCATTTAGCAGACGCTTTTATCCAAAGCGACTTACAGTGCATTCAAGCTATACATTTTTTATCAGTATGTGTTACCAGTATTATTACCAAAGTATTTACCAGTGTAGTGTTACAAGCAGTCATGTGGAAGCATAGAAAAAAAATACAGTTTCAACAGATTCTTTTTTTCTAAAGTTATTTTAGGGTTTTAATGACCCAGAGGTTTTTAAAAGAACAGTTCACCCAAAAATGAATATTTGCTAAAAATCTATTTACCCTCAGGCCATCCTAGAAGTCATCTCATCTGAATCAGGAGAGAAATATGCATATTAAGCACCGTTGAAAACTGAAAACAGTCCAACACAGTTCTAAACAAAAATGTCAGTGGATTTTGATTTAAAAGGACAACAGGTGATGGACTTTCACTGGAGAAAGCATTATTTATTATGAAATACGTAATCACCATTGGACCAAAAGCAACACATTCTGACGGCACCCATTCACTGAAGAGAATCTATTGGTGATCATGTGATGTTTCTACAAATTCTAAATTTCTCCAAATCTGTTTCAATGAAGAAACAAACTCATCTACATTTTGAATGGCCTGAGGGTTTTATTTTTTGGGTGAATTATTCCTTTAAAAATTGTGCTAAAGGCAATGAAACATTTTGTTGCAAACAGCAACATTACTAAGCCAACATTATCAAAAACAGATAAGCACAGCTGTTTGCTAATAATTTATATATTCATAAGCTGCATATAAAAATTAATCTGTAATCATATATTAGCAACAAAATGTATGTAAATGAAAGTGCAAGAGTGACAAAAAATTGTATGGTTTTAATTTATTATTTTCTTAATACATCACATAACCATCATAATAAAATAACATTATAATAATAATTATATATGAAGTACTCATCAATCATTCCAATGACAGCACATGTTCAAAAATCTGTCTGTAAAGGTCAATCAAAATGCTGCTGCAAGATGCTGTTCATGTAATGTTTAAACCAATCTAAGTATAATAAGGGGAAAATGATGTGAAAATGTGTATTTAAGAACAGTGCATGCAGATGTGTGTAGAGTATGTTAAGGTGTAAGATCTATATTCCAGTAAAAAGCTTATTATTTGATTTAAAATAAATACCCACATTGCTATTGAGCTAGGATTGACGTTTTTAAAGACATAGTACATACTGTAGTCCTGATGTGTCAAAGCACCTTAAACACATTACAGGTCTATGATGAGGTTCTCTGATGTAAACGAGTGTTTTTTTATGTAGAAGTGTGCAGATTTGAATGCATCCTGCACACAAGCATTTGGAAATTTCAGAAAATCAGAATATGTTTAAGAAAAACACAAGTCCAGGGGAGAGTTGGTTTAGAGCCATTTTGGGATTTTGAGCTTCATTTTCTATGAGAGGTTAGAGAATGTTGAAGCCTCCAGGGCTAAATGTTGTGGTTGAATGACAGCTCTGAAGGGTTTTTGAGTTCGGGTCAGTGTTAGGGCAGCTAAATATTCAGTGTGTGTCCAGTATTGTGCTCTGACTCAACGGCATCTAAGAATTTTGTGACATTGTGCATTGAATGGCACACAGAGCTTAACACTTTATGAAATGTGTCAGGTTTGAAGTCCATTGTTTTTGTTTTTGCTACAATATTTATTGAAATAAGAAGGTTGTCATGTCAAGTGATAAGACTAGGTTGTGCACTGAAAATAAACAGCCATATGGGTTGGGTTGAAGCTGGTCTGACTTTATGTGATCTACAAATCATCTGTGGTGGGTGTGTTATAGCTCTTGAAGAGCGGCTGCATAAAGAGGCCGACGGTTCCTACAACACACACTAAAACAAAGATCCACAGAAACAGACGGTCGATCACCATAGCCACATATTTCCAGTCCTCAATAATCTGTGAGAAAGAGAGAATATGCAGATTTATTTTAATTTATGTTTGATATATCTGCACTACCATTCAAAAGTTTGGAGTTGTTAAGATTTTTCAATTTTTTCTATATTTTAAAATGAATTTTATTCCTGTGATGACAACGCTGAATTTTCAGCAGCTGTTATTCCAGTCTTCAATATATATATATATATATATATATATATATATATCTCTCAAACAAATTTAGATAGGTCCACTGAACAATTTTATTTTTTCAATTTATTTAAGTGAAACTCAACACTCACCCCTTCATCATCATCCTCATTCTTCAACTTGTCAGCGATATATCGGACCCCCTTCACAGCCTCCTCCATGTCTGCAGAGCACTTTACTGCCATTCGCTTACGAAATTCTGTGCTTTCCTGCAACTCGCCAGGTCTCCAACCAATGTGCTTGGCATCTTCATTGACAAAGAAGGTGGAATCAGTCTCATCTGCCTCACTTTTTGCTGGGTGATCAGATGAAGAGCACTGCTGGTGCTTCCTGTGAAATTTCTCACGTTTGTTGGACTCTCCCGGTCGTCGCATGAATAGGAAACCAGGCAAACGGAACAGGAAGTAGTATTTGACCCACTTGGGCATAGTGTGTGTGCTTGGGGAACGATGGTGCACGTTTAGCACACACACACTTGTAACAATTGAAAAAGTCACCAAGACCATGGAGAACATCAAGTACTTTCCAATGAGGGGCACAGCGAGTGAGGTCGGCGGTACGATTTTGGAAATAAGCAAGAGGAACACAGTTAAGGCCAGAAGAACAGAGATACACAAAGTCATCTTCTCCCCACAGTCTGATGGAAGGTAAAAAACTAAGATGGCCAGTGAAGTGATGAGAACACATGGGATGATTAAGTTAATGGTGTAGAACAGCGGTTTGCGTCTGATGATAAAATCATACGTTATATCCAAATATGTGGCGTCATTTGGGTCTTCGTTTTTGCGACCAGGCAAGGACACAATATCCCATTCGCCACTTGGCTTGAAGTCATCTCGGCTGGCAAAGTCCGACAGCAAGATGAGGTCGATTTCTGTGTGGTCATAAGTCCATGAGCGGAACTTGAGTGTGCAGTTTTGCTGGTCAAAGGGGAAGTCCCGGACCTCAATTTTACAGGCACTCTTATAAATGGCTGGTGGTAGCCAGGCAACCTCACCGTTATTTGACATGACCGCATTGGAGTAGAAAGACACTTCATATGTCCCATCAGCACTAAAAATGACAAACACGTTGTTTTAAATGTGTTGTTTTAAATATAAAAAGCAAAGTATCCTTTTTTGCTTGTGTGCATGATAAAGTGCATAATAAAGGAAAGTTAAAGCTGATACTCTTATCCTGAGTGCCAGCTCATCATCATGCGAAAAACGCTGTCATTCTAATCTCAGTCTCAGTTCCTGAGATTAACGCAGTAACTCTGTCCTAGGTAAAGGTGAAACCCTGTCCAAATCCTGCATTGATGCAGCATTGTAAAAAGATTACAAAATAAGTCTCCTGCTGCAACCTGTATTTTTTTATAAGGATTCAACCTTTGAATAAATAAAACCTCTTTTTATAAATTATTTAAAGGGATAGTTCAGCAAAAAATGAACATCATTTACCCTCATGTCGTTCCAAACCTGTATGACTTTTTCTTCTACAACACACTTAAAGATATTTTGAAGTTTTTGGTCATGCAATGAAAGACACAGATCCAATGTGGTTCTTGGCCCCACAGATTTTCAGTGTATCAGCAAAACAGTTGAAATATTCTCAAAAATATTCTCTTTTGTTTTCTACAACACAAAAAAAGAAAGACAGGTTTGGAACGACATGAGGGTGAATAAAAGACAACAGAAGGGCTGGAAAATGTCTCACTTATTGTACAGGACAATGTCAGGCAGCCATATATGCTGGGAGGTAAGGCGAACTTTCCTGATCCCTTTATACTCCTCTGGATCCCACATCAACCGGTAATCATTCCATACCTGCAAAAGACACATAATTTAAAAAAACTTTTATTGTTTATTTATTTAAATTACAACCCAAACACAAAAGTTCCGCTTCTCTTACCTGAGTGAGCCAACAGTTTGTGGTCATGATCTGCTCTCTCTCATTCTGAAATACAAACATAAACATATTATAAACATTGAATTAATCAAATGTGCCATGTGTGGCAGCTCTTCATGTTTCAACTACCCACCACACTGATGAGCTGGGCAAGGGACACTTGGATTGCAATGGTGACCTGCTGGCTCTTGTTGACTGCCGGACGGATCAGCTTGTTGTATCGGTCAGGGGAGAGTAAGTAGTTTACTAAATGTTCCTCCACCTCTGCACACCATACAGCTGAAAAACAGACATTAAAAATGTTTAAGAAAAGCTTCTGAATTGAATGGAAGAAATGGTTTACTTGGGATTTATCTAAATGACTTAAGGTAATTGCACACAAAATTTTCAACGTGTCAATCACATTTACACACTGCCTCCGAAACTTTCGTCTGTGATAAAAAATTCGGATCAGGTTCGATTTTCTGCGTTTTCGCATCCATATCAAGCATTTTGATAGGAAAGGATGACGATTATGAAAAAAGAAAAAAAAACGCATACGAACATTTCGGACTGAGTGTGCAAGGACCCTTAGGCTGATGATACAGGGGGCAACTTTTTGAGCAATGTTGCTTGGTCACTTTCTCAATGAGAATGGGTAACAAATTTCTGTCTGGATACTTTAGATTGGTTGTGGGCCCTGTGTCTCACCTAGTTGCCCATTGACAGCAACATTAACCAAAGTTGCCCGGCAACATTGCTCAAAAAGTTGCCCCGTGTATCAGCAGCCTTACACATATGTAATCCACACAGAATTTGTAACACCATGCAAAATTAACACAACATTAACAAATTAACACAAGTGACAAATGGGGCAAAATGTGTTTTGGTTGGTAAATAATTTTAATAATTTTTAAATAATTTAAATATATTTTAACCATTGTGCTTTGTTTAAAAATATATATATTTAATAAATAAAAAAAATTGGGGGTTCCTGGTCAATTTCTCATTATGCTATATTATCACTAAATCTCATTCAATCATTTGTCAACTTGTTTTCTTTCAATTAGCACAGGTTTTTGCATTTCTTTTTTGGAACTGATAGATTATAGACCTCATTCTTATGCAAATTAATACATTGACCTGAGCTTATGCACCTCATTTTTTAGTAAAAAGAAAAACATTATTTACAGATAATTTTGGCAATATTTAGTCAAAAACTAAGGTCAGATCAATGATGCCTACAATCAATTAGTTCCAAAAAGAAATATAAAACCTGTGAAAATGTAAAAGAAAAGCAACTCATAAATAGATTGAATCCAATATTTACAAATAATATTGCATAATGAGAAATTTATAGGCCATTTCTTGTAGGCTGGTCTTTTTTTGACTGTGAACACCACAAGTGTAACAAGGTGTGGGTAAAACCAAAAATTATCAAGAAACTTTTGGGAAGTTGTTTTACCCTGTGTGAGGAAAATCTTACTGTTGTGTATCTTCTAACAGCTTTTACATTAAAGGGAAATTTACCAAACAGAATTTTCTACTGTTGTCATAACTCCACTATAAATATATACAGTCATAGACACAGAACTATATTTTAAGGAAACAATATGAAGTTTCATGGCCAATAAAAACATTTTATGATTGATTTTATTAAATTTTCTACATTTACTCGTCATTGGAACATGCAAATAAGGGTAGTTTTGAACAGGCAGGCCAAAAAGTACGTTTCAGAAAGAAGAAAAGAGAAAGCCAAAAACACTACTGGTGTTTCTGTGCCACTGTCTCTAAGGGACAGCAAGTCAGGACAAATGACATCAATCTGTGGACAAGCAGTGCACTGTGGGGACAATGAGTACAGAGACTACAAGATTAAAGATGACAGTAGAAGCACTGGGGCAGCAGTCAGCATTCAACACACAATCACCCAGCCTGTGCTCAGTGAGACATACTCCATCTGACTAACAGCTCAACAAGTACAGCTGAAACATGTGACAAATTAATGAATGCCGTGATAAGCCACTTTGGGAGCCATGTGAGCAAACCAAGCAGAACCAATCTGAAACTCTCCAAGATTTTCCCAAAGCTGAGAGTGAAAGTTTTCATACACAACCATTTTTGAGAACACATTTTTGGAGGTTATTATTCAAAACAGCAGAGGCATCAGACTGTGTATGTGCACTTATAAATAAACACTTTATTAACTTCTAAAGCTACCTTTTCATGCCCATTCAATGTTTTATGACCTGACTTTTCTCAGCAAATAGTGATATATCAAATTAATTAATCCACTAATTATATAATTGACTAATTTATTCAACTGACAGCCCTGCTCTGAATATTTCTGCAAAATAAGGAATGTCTCTATGCACATGTTGATGCTACCTGTGGTAAATATTTCTCATAAAGGTCAAATTTCATTATCCCTTCAATAGAACTAACACATCCATTATTATGAATCCAGATAGTTACATAATGAGACCCATTCATCTGTAAATAAGATGCACCGAAGCAACAATCCTCATGATTCAAAGACAGCATGCAGAGGGTCACAGAAGCCCTATGCCACATCTCTCATTAAGACCCCATGGGGACGATCATTCTTTAATGCCAAACATGAGTCAGCGGTTCAGCCCATCACTGCCCCATCAGCACACATTCTCTTTATCACAAGCTCTCATATTACAGCATATATGAAAGCAGAGTCTGACAGTAATTATCATAATGAGGGTTTAGTGAGCAAAATGATATGACCATAAATGAACACTACAAGCACAGCAGTAATCATGTTACTTTTCATTCCCAGTTGTTTCAGGTTACGCATTATGGGCAACATATTGGAACATCTTAAAAATCAGATTACTGGAAGATATTTTATTATTACAAATAAAGTGGGTTTTTTTTTTGTTGGTTTGTTTACTTGCATATTAAAAACATATAACTACTGTATAACATAACTGTTATATAAAAATATATATGACCTATTTAGCCTTTTTAGTTCTTGATTTATGAGCAATTCTGTATGGAAGTCTGTTTCTTATGAAAGCGTCTTTCCGCCACAGAAAAGACTAATAATAAAATAATAAAATTTTTATTATTTTTCATTCTGTGAGAGAAAAAAAAGGAATTACTAGAAGTAAACTCAGAATTCAGAGAAAAAAAGTCAGAATTGCAATATGTAAGCTCAGAATTATGAGAAAGCAAGAATTTTGAGTTTACATCTCTGAATTCTGACTTTCTTTTCAGAATCACAAGAAACAAAAATCCAATATAAACTCAGAATTGCAGGAACAATTAAGTGTGAAATAAAATTCACAATACACTTTTTTATACCATGGCAGAAACGGGCTTCCGTATTTTCTGCTTCAGAGTAAAAAATAAAAAACTATTTATCTCACAAGTGTGATATATTTCTTGGGATTGTCACTACCAGTTTGGACTTCTCCCAATTGTGTCTCACAATGTGACTTTATAACTCACAATTACAACTTTATACAGTATCTCCCAATGTGAGATTTTAAACTTTTTATTTTAAACTTTTTTAAATTATTATTATATTTTTTAGGTGGCTTCTATAATTATGAAAGAATTAAAACTGTTCTCAACACCAGTGTATGAGCAAGTCTATTAGTCTTGAAAAATCAAGACTTATTTATTTAAAAAAAAAACATAACAGTAAAAATTAAATTCCTATCTAAAAGTTTACGTATAAAAAAAATTGCACTGTAATGTCAAATGTTTCTCCAAACTCTGTAAGGAACATATCTTTGTGCTTTTGATGCACAACTGAACTGTCAATCATTGTACTTCCTTTCTTAGAGCAATTGCTTCCAACTGAGACACAATGGTTTGAGAATCGAGATTATAACATCTTCAGCATAAACACACTGTTTTGTTTAAAATTACTATTTAGTATGGAGGATGCTGTCTAGAGTGGTGACTAATATCTGTGGAATACCCTATGAAAAAAGTGTTACTAAACCCCCGACTTAATCAGACAAGCCCCATGTCCTGCTTCAGGGCTCTTCACAAAAACACACACTCTTCTAAACAACCAAGGCAGGACAGGGGCTTGGAAAGAAACACACACCATCTCAAGATTATACACAACAACACACACACACGCTCACAGTTGCATGCACTGAGCTTTTCCACCCCGGTGCACTTTAACTCTGTGAATAATTCAGCTGTACTAAAATAAAACCTGCCTCATCACACAGACAGCAGCAGCAGATACCAACACAGACAAACACACACAGACCTAGTCTAACTCTCAGAATACTTTACTAGGGATACAAATAATAACACAGTATTCAATATTAGCACTAACACACAGACACACACATAAACACTTCCCAAGTTAAATACAGTTACGCTCTTCTTTTTGACAGGGCGGTGCTTAACCAGTGTATCAGTCTTTGAGTATAGCATAAATATCCACCAACTAAATTATTAAAAGCTACTCCTTCTGCAGCCAAGCTCCACTGAATCCAACAACTTACATATATATACATATACACATATTCACTAGCTATGGCCCAACAGTTACCCTAGTGCCGCATTTCAGTGTGTGAGAGAGTCAAATCCACTTCATGCTACACAATTTCAGTTTGCATTAGTTTAAGAATCTGAGACTGTGTGGGGGTATAAGTATATCACACTTTTTCTGGAATCCAAGAACATGTTTCACAATTCCTACAGAGACTGATACCCCATAATTACACATTGAGCAGATGGCTTGTTCACTTATTCTTTTCAACATATTGGGATCATGTCCAAACTATACAAAACCTGGTTCAGGTATAACTTCTATTTATTGGGCAGAGCATGTTTTTTCAAGCCTTTTTGAGGTTTTAATGTGTTAATACTTTAAAACTACACTACATTTATAAAAAATATAATATACTTATTCATCAAGAATGCATTCAATTAAATTCAAATAAATGCAGTTTTTTCTTCTTTTTTACTTTACATTTACAAAGAATGTTGAAAAAATGTATCACAATTTTCACATTGATAATAATAATAATAAGAAATGCTTATTGAGCACCAAATCAGCTTATTAGAATGATTTCTGAAGGATCATATGACAAAGAAGATTGAAGTAATGGCTGTTGAAAATTCAGCTTTGCCACCACAGGAATAAATTACATTTTAAAATATACAATTATTTTAAGCTGTGATAATATTTCACAATTGTTATTGTTTTTAATCAAAAGAATGCAGCTTTGGTGAGCATAAGAAACTTCTTTCAAAAGCATTTTAAAATCATGCCAACCCCAAACTTTTGAACTGTTCTTGTAATTTTTTTTTTTTAATAATGTCAGGAACGCTGTATTACACTTCTCGAGTTTTTTGCATCTTTATGATGAATTGCTTGCTGTATTCCTCATTTGTAAGTTGTTTTGGATAAAATTGTCAGCTAAATTAAAAATGTAAAATGTAGTGTACATATCTGATTGCTCATGTCATGACCTTGGTTACCTCTGTGTAACTGACTCACTGCTTAATGAGTGGAAATACTTCAGCAATAAAAATCATTAATGGAAGCAGTGATACAGGAATACTGCTAATGGCAATCACAACAGTTAGAAATAGAGCCCAGTACTTATCCATAGCTTATACAAGGTCTTACTTTACTTTTAGTTAGAATGCAAGGTGTAATAAAAGTAATTAATAGAGCTCACTTAAACACCACAAAAAAAAATGTTTTTTTTTTTTTTTACTTCAGCCAGCCATAATATATGTTTGCACCACACTATGTGCAAATGCATGGTTTGATAATACATGGAAGCAATCAAACGACTCAATTCAGGTATTTAATAACAAAATATTTTAAATCGAATTTTGTGCACAAACAAGACTTCAAAAAAGCTGTCCTTCAAAGCAACAAGAACTTCTGAAGTCTAGGTTTATTCTGTATATGTGTGTGCGCACATGTTCATGAATGCGTTTAAGAGACCCTCTCTGCAGCTCTGACTCACTAAGCAAAAGATCTAATCAGAGTTATGACAGAGTTAGCATAAGCATGCCTCAAGAACCAAAACACACACAGATATTCACACACGTTATCACCATGCATGCCCTAAAATGGACTGAAAAAGACACTCTGATACTGAATTGCTTAAGTTTCCCTTCACTACTACACAGAGATCAAGAAAACACGTGACCATGCAACCTTGATGAAGGGTCTATTCCAGGGATCCTGAAATCTGGCCCACGAGATCCACTTTCCTGCAGAGTTTAGCGCTAACCCTAATCAAACACACCTGAGCATGCTAATCAATGTCTTCAGGATCATTAGAAAATCCCAGGTAGGTGAGTTTGATCAGGGTTGGAGCTAAACTCTGCAGCGCATTGGCCCTCCAGGGCAAGATTTGAGGAAC